AATATATACAACACATATAACACCTGTCATCCTATCTAATATCTGGCTTAGCAAAACAACCTATCATTGTCATTCTCGCTCACGCATCTGAACGTCAGAGAAGTTCATTTTGATAGTACACATTTAAATAATCAATTTACTTATTTTAACACATAAACATTGGTACAAGGGAGCAGCCAAAACATATACGCCTCAAAATAACGATGGGGTTGTATAGAGCTAGAGCATGTAAAACGCGTATGAGTAAATGGAGAACAAGGTAAAGGAGTTAAAGTGTAATAAACAAATAATAATAGATGAAGTTTGGTTAGCAAAAATGAAACCGTAAAGAACTCTTCAAGTTAGACAAGCTATGTTCGTTTTAATGAAGAAAGTAAAAGGAAGTTAAAGCAGAATCACCACTGGCTTCTATTCTGAGCAATATCTGATAACGCCTCTAGCCACTGTGACGCACCATCTCTCGGACCCCAAACAGCCAGTTGTGAAGAACCAACAGAAACAAGCCCTGCGCAGCTTTCTTTCCTACCACCGCACAATGCCACACTGACCACCTACTCGCTTTTTCCAACCAGTCCCAGCGTCGAAAAGTGATGCATGATGTTGAATTCTCTTGTATAACATTCGTAGAACATTTCCAAACCATCGAAGTCGATGTTTCAAGATCGTGGCATCAGTTGAATTATCGTCGCTGTGTATGAACACACGATGCCAAACATACCAAAATGACGTTGTCACTGGATGTCAGAAATCCTTCGGCGACAACGATGATCTGACACTGAAAACCATCTAACATCCTCAACTTGGAGGGGTTAGATCTCACAAGCATAAAAAAACCTCTCACCATAACGTTGTAGATCCGACCTTTTACAGACAATCTAACATCACAAAGGTGCCAAAGATGGTCCAGAATAACATAAGCCGTTCTGGCTTTCACTATACCTGAATTGATCTTATCACTCACTTCACCACCAGCACTTACGAAGCTATCCTTTGGAGGATGGTGAAGATATGTTCAATATATCACCCATCAGAAAGAAAAACAGCCTGTTTCTTAGGAGTCAATCTTCCTTGGGTTTTGAATAATCTACAGAGTATGACGGAATCCAATAATTTTGGGCGCAATCGAAAGTAGACTTATCCCCCAATTGCCGATACGGAAACGAAGTAAGCGATTCCGAAAGATAGAGAGAACTACCGATTCCTTCCACCATGTTGGAACACTCTCTAATTGCCAAACCTTTTTAGCCAGAAAGTCGTAACCATTTTTCAAATGGGAGGGTGGTAATTCATCTGGGCTTGACTGTTTGTAGCGCTTCAGGAGTTGAAGTTCTGTGGGGACTTCCGCCCTGTTCTGTGGATCCGTAGTCATCGGCAATAGAGGGTAGCACAGTTGGATTGGTGTTGCCAGAACGGCAGACCAATTGATATTTGATTATCCTTTGTAATTAATTGAGACTTTCACAACATCGTTTCCAACTATTACTGTACAAACACTTCTTCTACCATCACATCTTTCTGCAATAATAGGTTATTTTCTCATTTATTTATTTTTAATCTTTTTCTCGTCATTCGTTTAGTGATATATACATGATAGCTCTGTGTCCACAAACAAGCTTATTAAACTACCTATGTGTTTCGCGTTTCCTTCATTTCTATCTCCTTATTTTCTCGCTTCTTTCCAAAACTAACCCAATGTTTCTCTCGGTTACACAGAACCTGTGTGTTTTTTAGATAAGGTAAATATTATGCCAACAGTAACGAAACTTGTGTATTATTGCATTTATGAAGAAACTCGAAATAGTCCCATCAAAACACTTATGTACCCATAAGCTGTTTGTGAATAATTATGATAACTGTTCCTTGAAATCTCTGCTCATCGTCCGAGACGTCAACAAATGTAAATGATTGACATTTCGTCATCTTCATAGATTGTTTTACTCACATCAGACTTCTTGCTGCCAGTGACTAGGATGAGATGAAATACCTTCCGAAAGTTACCAGAAGCAGTTGCTGTTTCCATCTCATTAACACGCTCCGATCACCAGGCTTCTCGATCTTTAAGCAAGCTTTGCCCAATGTCGTTACAAAACAGTCTTCGTTTGTGGTTAGGATCGCGGTCACCTGGAGTAAACCTACGGGTTTCAATGAGCTGTTAGGAACCTGCAAAACCCAGTGCTTATAAGCGGAACGTTTCTTGAAGACACAAGCGACTCTGCTCACTATTTTCATGGCGTCATGCAACTGCAACCAATGCTCATCTGAACTATTTGGGTGGCTCACATATGCCTTCAAACTAGCCAGGTCTGATATTCATTGGTGACAGAAGATTCAACTAATTTTCTGACATCCGTCCGTTAAGGACGATGAGTTTGTTGGCTGCTGAAAAGCAGTGTAAGATTAAAGCAAACAAGGGCGTGAACAGAAAGCAGATAGTACTCCAAAAAGAGGAGGATTTTGCTTTCGACCACGCCAGCGGTTACTGTTCGAAATGCGATCGATCTCAGTCCAGGATTGTGGTGCAGAGAGATGACGAGGGGTAGTATATCATCAATGACTGAGTCGAGGGTCGGTGCTAGCCAGTGTTTTCACCATAGGCGAGGTACTATATAAGTCAAAAAATAAGACACGCGAAAGGATAATAAAAGGGAATACATAAGTTACGTAAAATAAAAGAAATAAGAACGAATGTTCTCAAGTGGTTGTGAATATGACTTGAATGCGATTTAAAGGAGGATTAGTTTTCACGGTGGTAATCATCATCTGGTTTGTATGAAGGCCGTAATACTGCCCGGATGTCTAAACCGAAACAGGTGGATTCTTAGAGGGCCACACCCAGGACCTTTGATCCGAAGGTCTAATGCACAGGGAAGTGGAGTGACGTAGGAAGATTCAGTCCCATGATAGCTGGTGACCAATTATAGGTTCATTATAGGTTCCCTCTGGATCCTGGACCCCATACGCACCATTGGTTTGGAACCAGGGTTTTCCAACTCCCGTATATGAACCCCCTGTGTCCACCAACCCGGTTTAAGCGCCGAATATTTGCTTAACTTTCTAGTAATTTAGTAAACAACACCTCTTCGAGAGAAAGCAGCGAGTAGGACTTCCCTGACAGTGGCTTTATACACCTGACCACGTAAGAGCATTTCCGGGAGGAGAGAAGACTCTCCTCAACTTCGGCGGTACCTGGGAAACTAGATCCAAAGGATGGTAAAGTAGTGAATATTCTTGAACAATGTAGCGAAACTGGAAGTTGAGAGGTGAATTTCGAAATCTACGACTTGAATTCTATAGTTTGACCTTGATGTTAAGTGTCGCTACTGAAAGTAAAACAATCGTGATTGTCTACAAAAATTCGATTTATATCTGACCTTTCACAAATGTGTGCATCAACAGTTATCAACATTAAAGTTATGAGAAAATTTTAATTCCGAGATATCGTTTGTTTCTTATACTTGGATTATTGGAAGACCTAAAAACGGGCACAAAGTGATTTTTACTATACATATACGACAGAAGCCTGGCTTTCAGTCAATGAAGAAATGGAAGAGATAAAGTGAAATATTAGGACAGCTTAATTACACTGCCTCCCAAGGCAAAAACCTGGTTGACAACCACAGTTTATTATTGAGTTGAGGACATCTTGAAGGCTTATTATAACTAAGATCACAACAACAAATTAGGCCAATATTTCCACAGCTATTTATAGAAATGTGCAAACTAGGCGGGCTCACTGTACCTAGGAAACTTCAAATCTTTAGTCCAAACGTAGATAAATCTTCGGAAAAACCAACTTCCCCTTGGTTGTGCTAAACCACTCCACCCCTCAAAATCAGGAATGACGCTTCTTCTAGTCACTAACAGTCAGTGATTTTTCATAAAACATTATTATTTATAATCGTTTGAGTTATTATGCCGTAATAACAGATTTTATTAGAAATCCATGATGACTTAACAATGTCGATCGACTATTACAATAGCTAATGTTTTTCCGGTAGAAAATAACGTGTTACAATTAATAGCAATACTGTTTAAGAGCACATATTCAAAATATTTTAAGCAAAGAACTATGACAGAAATAAATGCGAATCAAAATTTTAATATCCTCTTTCAAGTTCCACATAATGCACGTTACGAAATGCATCAATAAAATTAATGAATCTTGTGTTAAATGGAGATTAAATGTTTTCTTGTAATAAGTACAACCGTCATTTATGAACGATCAGTAAACAAACTAATCTGCTTTAATGCCTAAACGTCACTGAGATATCCACAAACATCGCAAATGCTAATAAATCAAACCCCGTAGTCTGGAGGTCGGTTAACATTTTAACTGCACTTATTAGTTTAAACAGAAGTTACTAGCTGAATAACCTATCGAGAAAATTGCGACACTGCTCAAATAAGACACTTCCACTCATTCATATAGTTGACTTGATAGTCCCATCTCCATCTAATCGCACTTCTATACCACACTCTGAGCTTCTACGATCACCACCATTTGTCATCATATTTAAATCAGTAACAATAATAGGGAAGTAACTGGATATGCTATCTCAGTTTCCACACTTGATCTATTAGTCAAGTACAGTAAACGTTTTATTTTTAACTCAAGCGTTTGTTATAACACTTCAAACCCATGAACTCCACAGGCACCCCGTTTCAAATGTCGACTGCGGGGGATGCTTCGAAAACTTCCAAAGTGAGAGTCGTTTCTTGTCTTTTCACTTTCAAAAAATACATGTACTTGCAACATTTCTACCTAACAATTCTGTGTGTATAGTTGTTTCAATGTTGACACGCGTCTTGTGTTTACTTCCAGCATTTTGAGTTCGGACATAAAATTAATGTTCGTGCTTGGATTTTCTTATGGCCTTTTCCATCAAACTCATGAATTTGTTCAAAATTTTAGTTTCTTAGTTAGTCATGCGAATTCGTAATTAAAACCTACCTTCTTTATTTTACATCGCGTACTTCTAAAACTTGTAGTTAAGATTATGATCAAGCTTAAAGTAAATAGGTTTGAGTGATAATAATTTCGTTCACAAAATTACAGGTTTGTGTAAATATAGGTGAAATTCAACCAATTTATTCTCAATTAATCAACTGCTTTCAGAAGCACATACTGCCATATTCACCAAAGTGAACAACCGTTTGACTTATCACAGTTCCTACTAAATAATTTTAATTTCTCCTCATTGATGTGACTTGGCACAATCACTGTAAGGTAATCGAACTTTAATTTTAAAGGCAACCGATATAGTTCTACTTATAAATATTTACATACAAATATCCATACTAAGTACCAATGCCTGGATGAAGGGGCTGTAGGTTATTCTAGTCATACGGTGACATCAAATTCAATCATATTTATTAAGCGAATTGTATTAGTGAAGTTACTATTACAACGTATTATTCAAATACTTATTGCAACTTCGTTCTTTGTTCATTTTAAGTAGAACCGTACAATGTTAAGATCCATTTATATAATATGTTACTATTTTACATTTCCATATCTACGTTCGTTTCAGTTTCTTTATTCTAAAAATCCATTTTCCTCATTTCAAAATAAATAGAGACCTTTCTAACCATCTTCGAGCATATTTGGAGATGTGTTTGGTAAGATAGTCTCATTCTCATTAATCTATATCTTACATAGTTCAGTTAAGATATCTGAGGATCATCGGTAATCTTACACAGTGTGTCCCACAACCCTTTTAATTAATCTTTATTCGATTAGTGAGTTATATCCATATCCAATCTGCCAATGTTTATCTGAAAGTTGATTTACATGGTTGAGTCTCCAATTTCTGTGAATATTTAATGGAGTTAACATCTTAGACATTCTGTTTATGTAGCTTGACTTCCCTGTTATAACATGAAATAATTGGTGCAAAAGAGCGTTAATAAAGTCTTAAACTGAGAACCATAAACTTTAAGTGAAAACCTTTTTCCTCCAGTGTTTTGTTTTTTCAAATCCATTTAGTGCCACACCTCGATCCGGATAATAAATATACAACTGTTACCTAAACACACTCACACATGGAGATATGTTTCTTAATATAGCTTGACTGACAGTTCCCATTGTACAAAATTATTGTGACCGTACAGTGGATGCATGAATCTGTACTTTGTTGTTGAACTTCATTACTTCTATATTTACTTCAATGTGGTAAATATGTGTTAACTACAAACATTTTTATGAGTTTCTATTCAAACGGAAGTCTACGTTCTAATAGTTTAATTGTGTTGAAATAGTCTCACATCATAGGTATACAAATTATTATAATGTTTGCATTGTACTCCATATGCTTGTAGTGTTATAATGTAATTTTAAGTCAGTATAGAAATTTCCAAATGAACTTTAATTACAATCTGTTCCCAATCCTAACTGGCATTAATAAGGTAATTGTTTTGTCGAATTTTATTACGTTGAGGTTTTTATTCGCGATGCTTTCGGTAATTTCCTATGAATTGTTATAGTTCTTCAAGCTGTGCTAACCAATCCTCGAAGCAACCTTAGCCATTGAAGCATAAAATGTGTAATGTGCTTGTTTGCTTGCTTTTAAAAAATTAGGCCCAAAGAAATTATATTATGCATTTCTGTATTTATAGCTAAGTTTAGTATTGAACACTTAATTGGTGTGAAGTAGAATATTTAATCATTCAGTGTATTTTAATCTGATAAGGATTCTTTGATTTGGTTTCAGGCAACTTTTAAAACATTCGTAAAAAGTTTAAATATCATTACCTACATTTATTGGTTAGATTTATTAGCAGTTTATTTTTAAGTTGTGTATTAAAAATTTCGAATCGGCGACATGTTTCGCTTTTAAAATCATAGCTGTATGCAACATAAAAATATTTAATATTGTTAAGGTGTAGGTAAGGTAAGTTTCATTGTTCAGAAGCAGCTGCAAAAGCTTCAAGTTTCGAGCAAAAAGAATGTGACGACTCATTGTGTTTTTATATGTCTAGCAAATCGGTCTACATAACAACTGGCATCTTAGTTACTCAAAAGATGAAAGCTCCTGCCATTCATAAGTTCTTCATACTGTGGAGATCACATAAATTACCTGTAAAGTAACTACATTAATGGCAATCAACTTTAATAAGTATTTTCAGAGTTTGGATTTTGGATGTTTCGTTACCAGACTATTTTATTCTATTTCATTAACAACTGCCCTATAGAAACCACATTTGTGAATTCATTGATTATGTTTTTCGATATTTGCACTTTATCACTCAATCCTGTTAATATTTACAAAACTTTGCATACAACCTGTTTTAGTCTCCAACCAGTCATAGAAAATGTACCAGTCGAATGGCTGGTATGTTTCTTTTCTGTTCTACTTGTTTGCATACTTCAAGTTCAACAGAAAAAGAAGTTCAGATTGCACCACCTATAAATGAAATCCTTCAAACGGTAAATTTATCACCTTAGTCCAACCTGAATACTGCTAACATTTGTGGCTTATGTGTGACTTTTTCCCTTTTCTCCCATTAATAATCAGCACAGTGTTTGTGTTTTCAAACTTATTTTACTGGTGTCATCAGTATTCCATTGCTTGTTCTGTTTCATGTTTATTTAACTACTTACGGTGAACAACGTTGTACCCAGCATAAATTGCACTACTTTCAGCTATTTGAATCTTGCATCCGTACAACAAAAGACGAAAGTATCAAAATAAAAAACAAGGAGGCGAAAAAGCTAAACACAGCAAATTTATCCGCGAATATAAAACAAATCAAATTGAAGAATAGAAAATACAGACCATTATTTAAATCCCATAAATTTTGCGATTTGGAAAATAAGCAACCTTTTCCCGACCGTTGCTGCTACCTTGACGTGGTGGTTGGGCTTGCCTATCGTGATGAAGCAATCGAGCTATGCTGGTTGGAACAATCGTTCCTCGAGGTTCTACCATACCAGACAGGTCGATTGAAGAGCGGTAAGACTAAAAGCAGCAATCCCAAGGTCCGAAGGCGAAGTCGTACTGCCGACTGTACAGAGGTGTGACGGCAGTAAGGTGTTTCCTTCAGACAACCAACATGACAGCGATGCTGCCTTCTCACAAGGAGGGGTGGGGTTAGAAAAGGCCGACCCTAAAAATGCACACCTCGCCTTATCTCACGGATTTCCGTCTCCGGTGGTAAGGTCCTTTGAAGAACGGAGCTAACACGTCAAAAATCTCCCCACAAAAAGGCCGTGCGTGACCGGCCTGAAGCAGTTGTCCCTTGGGCACTGTGGTCACGCTCCCAGGTTGTTAAGACCAACACTAATCCGACTTCTTTTTCAGGTCGCTCAAAAATACCCTTCCACGGTGTTGACAACCGGGAAGTGATATTAGCCCTCATACCCGTAACAACACACGAGACCAAGTTGGTCACTTTCAAATCCTTCCTACTCCTAATGACTCTCGTATCTCCACGACTAACCCTTCCCACGTCCTTTTATCACCTCGCACCGCTAGGGCAAACGATTCAAGTACACGGAACGTTATTCCTGGTTTCCTGAAACCACGCTCTAAACTACATATAGGAACTTTTAATGTCCGAACATTGTGTTAAATAGGGCAACAGGCTTCTTTAGCTAGGACTCTAGAATCTTACACCATCGATGTGTGCTGCGTCTCCGAAACGCGCATACAAGATCCGAGTAGTGTCATTCATTTGACCGCACCTAATCAAAATAAAGTTTCATCTCGTTACACGCTTCGTGTATCTGGAAACCCCGATGCAGCTTCCCGTGGCCTCGCTGGCGTAGGTATAGCATTAAGTCCTAGGCCAGAACCAGGTCTTTTAGACTGGATCCCAGTAGACAGTCGTCTAAAGGGATCAGTAAGGACTCGGAGAGATAGGGAAACTTGTCGTTGCCTCTTTGTCGTCTCTGCCTACTCTCTCACTGACTGCAGCTCAGACGATATAAAAGATGAGTTCTACAGGAAACTTTCTGACCTTCTCCGAAAAACTAGGCGTTCCGATGTAGTCATAGTGGCTGGTGACTTTAATGCTCAAGTAGGTAAACTAAGTGAAAGGGAAAGACACCTGGGTGGATCTTATGGTGTCGTGGCTAAAAGGACAGATAATGGCGACCGTCTGTTGCAGCTGTGCTCAGATAACCGCCTATTTCTTGCAAATACTAACTTTAAGCATAAGGAAAAACATCTTTTGACATGGCGACCCCCGAATTCGTCTCAACGTTGGACACAATTAGATCACATCACTATCAGCCACCGATGGAGAGGCTCGATAGAAGACTGTCGCTCATTCTGGAGCACATGTTTAGACTCAGATCATGCTCTAGTGCGAGCACGTATCTGCCTGCGTCTTACTGGACGTAGGAAAGACACTGCAGGGAAGCCTCTAGGGGTTCTATTTAATGATAAACAAGCTAAAAATATATTTTAGGAACAACTCGAAAAACAGTTAGACAGACATGTAAGTTGTGTCCACCCCGAAGCAGCGTGGAATGACATCCGTAAAGCTGTGGAAACAGCAGTGATATCCGCTAGTAAGGTAAGCCATAAGGTCAGGGAGAAACAATGGATCTCGGCAGCATCTACCACACTGATAGATGCTAGAAAATTCATCCCACCTGGCTCTGAACATAAGGAAGAGCGGAGTCAGCTTAAGCGAAGGCTAATAAGAAGCCTACGCAATGATCGTGAACAGTGGTGGGTAGCGAAAGCAAGAGAGATGGAAAAGGCAGTGGCAATAGGTAACAGCAGACAGCTATTCAGACTTGTTAAAGAAACCGGTATTAGGAACCCAAGTATCAATGAAACTATCTGAGACAAAGATGGGCATATCATTCATTCTCAATCCAGGAGATTGGATCGATGTGCAGAACACTTTAGGGATCAGTTCAACTGGCCTTCAGCCACACTTCAGTTACCCACGATCCTCAGTCGTCCTGAATGGCAAATTGAGGTAAGTCCTCCAACTCTACGAGGTTGAAAAAGCTATAGGAAATCTAAAGCGAGGGAGAGCCGCAGGCCCTGACAGGTTTACCCCTGAGGTTTTTAAGGTTGGTGGTCCAGTACTAGCAACGAAATTGACTGAGGTCTTAGGTAGAATGTGGGAACTGGACGTAATTCCATCTGACTGGTCCCAATCACTGATTTTGCCAGTCTATAAGAAAGAGCAAAAGTCCTCCTGTGACAATCACAGAGGAATCAGTTTGACTAATATAGTGTCTAAAATATTAGCTTCAATAATACTTAGGCGCCTAACCAAAGCTCGTGAGGAGCAGACTAGAGAAAACCAGGCTGGTTTTCGACCTGGACGTGGTTGCATAGACCAGATATTCACTCTACGTCAGGTCCTAGAACATAGACACACATTCAGACGTCCCACAATAGTAGTATTTCTTGACCTTAAGGCGGCATTTGACTCCGTTGATCGTGAGGTTCTATGGCAGTGTTTGTCAGTGAAAGGAGTACCAAAGAAGTACATTAACCTCATAAAGGCTCTCTCTTCGAACACTACTGGTCGAGTTAGAGCCAATGGCGATCTGTCATCAGAATTGGTTACCTCAAGTGGTGTTCGTCAGGGCTGTCCACTCTCCCCATTCTTATTTAACTTTGTCGTCGACATGCTTTTAGAGGTATCACTTTCATCATCTCAATCTCCTGGAGTTGAACTTTTACCGGGAGATTCACTTGTTGACTTAGAATACACCGACGACATAGTTTTATTTGGTGAAGACGCTGACAAAATGCAGAGTCTTCTGACCACTATAAGCAACAATGAAGGCATGTTCGGGATGCGATTCTCTCCCTCGAAGTGCAAAATGTTACTTCAGGATTGGGTTGCATGGACACCTGAACTAATGATAGGGAGTGAAGTAGTTGAGCGTGTTGACAGCTTCACTTATCTTGGGAGTCTCATCAGCCCTTGTGGTCTGGTGTGTGACGAAATCTCAGCACGGATACAGAAGTCACGTCTAGCTTTCGCCAACTTTCGCGATTTATGGCGTAGGCGAGATATCCGTCTAGCAACCAAATAACGGGTTTACTGTGCAACAGTTCGTTCCGTCCTGCTTTATGGCAGTGAAACATGGCTGATAAGAGTAGAGGATATTCGTAGGCTACTAGTATTCGATCATAGGTGTCTTCGACTCATTGCTCGTATATCCTGGGACCACCGGGTAAGTAATGCAGATGTTAGGAAACGGGTACTAGGTAAGGATGGCAAATCGATTGATGAAGTAGTGAAACTTCATCAGTTGAGATGGCTGGGACATGTGTTATTTATTTATTGATTTAAACACATATATATTGGTACAAAAGGGCACCAGGTACATATGCGCCACACAAAATAATGAAAGTAGGAAGAGAAGGGATGAAAAGATAAGGCGGACTAAAATGTACAACCAGAAGACTCTTTCAAATAGGAAAGTA